TTTATTCATTCAATCATTATTTTTTTCATTCGTTTGAAAAAAAATCTATTTTCCAGGCATCGTGCTACAGGCTAGGGATCAAATGCAAATATCATATAGTTGTATCCCTGAGAAATTTCAAACTCAGTGAAGGAGTCAGGTAATTTAATGTTTGTAGCATAAGTGCTTTAGCAGAAGAAGACATGAAATTCTAATTTCTGAATAGTATGGAGGATGAGGATTGGAGAAGGCAAAAGACAGAAGGCAGTATTTGAAGTAGACAACATATAATAAACAGGTGATTGCTAGGTAAGGAAGAAGGGCATTCCAAGAGAAGATGTCAAGCATCAAAGTTGTGGCTGGAGAGTAGCTAGAAGTCCAGTAAGGTTAGAGCAGAGGGGTCATGAGTATGGAAGAGTGGCTGAGGGCGAAGATAGAGAACTATGTGGGGTCACTGCATGAGGGGCCTTGACTACCAGTTTAAGTGTATACTGTTGATATTTGACAGGTGACAGGGATTCACAGGTGTTCTAAGCAGCAGAGTAATCGACAGTATATGCGCTCTTGCCTTCTGCATTGCTAACCTTTAGTGGCTCTCTCCTACCATGCCGGCTTCACTGCTCCTTTACTACTCATGTTCTTCCTGATGTAGCCTCGTTATGGGTACTGCCCAAGGTTTACTCTCTCTTACTTCTTTCTCTCTTTTCCCTGATGAATAATTCCTGCTTCCTAATCCACCTATCAGCTCTCTCAAATCCTTACCATCTGTCTGCATTTTTTTTTTTTTTTTTTTTTTGGCGGGGGGACAGAGCATCACTTTTGTTGCCCAGGCTGGAGTGCAGAGGCATGTTCTCGGCTCACCACGACCTCCGCCTCCTGGGTCCAAGTGATTCTTCTCCCTCAGTCTCCTGAGTAGCTAGGATTATAGGCACATGTCACCATGCCCAGCTAATTTTGTATTTTCAGTAGAGACCGGGTTTCTCCGTGTTGGTCAGGCTGGTCTCGAACTCCCCACCTCAGGTGATCTGCCCACCTGGGCCTTCCAAAGTGCTGAGATTACAGGCATGAGCCACCATGCCCGGCTTTGTGTATCTTTTACTCATTTTCAGTCTATTTTCCTCATGATATATATGTCATCACCACTGGAATGTGTGATGGCTTTGGGATGCATCAGCTTGGCTAGGCTGAACACATTTCCCCGACTTTCCTTTCTAGTGTGTTTCTAGTTACAGTTAGGCTACAAGAAACATTTTCTTTTGAGAGTTAGAGTGCAGGAGGGAGGCAGTGGTGAAGACATGCACCTTCTACCAGTGACTCAATCAAACTATAGTTTGAATTCTCCAGTAAGAGGAGATGTAAATAAAGCCCCAAATCAGTTGATTTTGTGTTCATCAAAAGAGAGATTATCCTTGGGTTTTGCACTTAATTAGCCATGAAAATCAGAGACACCACTAGGCCTGCACCCCTGGACTCCCTTCTTTTTGTGGACTTCAAGCCTCAGCTGGAGCTCATGGGGTCCTGCCTGCTTGTGATCATCTCTTCCTGATGCCTGTTCTATAGACTTCAGGCTTACCTAGCCAGACCTCACAATTGTGTGAGCTAATCTTACATAATAAGTAAATCCATATCTATGTTTATATAATGTGCATATGCATATAAAATATTTATACATATGTATGTATACATGTGTTAAAATATATAGATGTGATATATTGAGAGAGAGCTCCCACCAGTTCTATTCCTCTGATTGAACCCCAACTGACATAGAATATTCTACTCTCACTTTCAATTATGCAGAATAAACTCATTATCCTTTTCCTCATTCTACACCAAAACCAACTCCCTTTTTCATATAATTCATCATACAATCTTTTCCAGAATTTGAAAAAGAGACGCTTCTTTCTTCTCATCTATAGTATTCAGTAACCCCTAATTTCACACAGTTTTCCTTCAAGGTCTCTCTCTTCTATTCCAAACCAGGCTCTCCTTTTCTCATGCTATGATGATTTTCCTTCTTCCTAAAGCTTTTCCGTGTCTCAATTCTCATCCTCTTTTAATGCAGTGTCTATGGAAAGACCTTTTTACACCTCCCTACATACTGCTCTATTTAAAATGATATACTATTGCTACAAGTTAAAATCTTTAGTTGTTTTTGTCTGTTAAGATAACATTTAAGGCTTAACAAAATATTATCTCACAACTAATATAGTTAGAATAGTAGTCATAATACCGAAAGCACTTCTATGTAAGGCACTCTGAGAAGTGATTTTTACAAGTTATCTTCTTCAATTCTCACTATAATCCCATGAGATGGGTACGATTATCCCCAGTTTATAAGTGACAACACTGAGGCAGAGAGAGGTTAATTCATTCCCCAATTTATACATCCAGTAAGTGGTGTATCTGGGATTTGAGTCTGAGCCATCTGATCCGAGAGCCCACCACTCTCATGATTCCTGATTTGAATTCCACACTCTCAACTGACCTGGACTCTCACTGTTCTTGAATATAATTCTCATTTTCTTACCTGCTTATGTAATTTCTCTCTCAAGGGACATACTTCCTCCCTGCTCTCTCACTTTCCAACACCTGGGCTGGATTCAAGTCCTGCCTTCATTCACCCATATCATAAGCCATGAACATTTCTCTCTTCTCATGACCTGCTGCATTTACTGTTGTTTAACTGGTTGATTTGAATACCTCAACTCTCCACTTAGTCTGTACAGCACCATGTTTCCATTACTTTTATACAGTTAAGAAACGCCCTCTCCCACAAATACATATGTTATTAGTGCAGTTTTGAAGGAAGAAACAAACACACATAAACACTGTTATCTCTGGAACATGAACGTCAGATTTTTCAGATATATACCAGATAATTTGGGTTTCACTTCCTCAAGACAAGGTAAAAGCAGCATCCATTCTTTTAATTCAATGGTATCTAACCATGTGTGTTCTGACTAATTTGATAGGTTTATGAAAGTGCTGAAGGTGAAAATACAAAAATTCCCTAAGTGTGGCAGACTTATTAGCGGGGTCCTTGCTGAACAATTTCATAGTCTTCACCCTTCGAAAGTCATTTCAATCCAAACAGGTTTGGGGGTATATTCGTGACCTTTTCATGGCGTTTTACATTCCTGTGTGTGGGTCTCATTGAGTTTCGATAAGAATTGTGTAGAGAGGAAAAGGAACATTGTCCCTGCCAGAAAAAGTTGGGATAGATTTATTCTAGCACATTGGTATAATAATCCAACTTTTTACAAGTGTTAGTTGACTGAATATTGTTTCTACTGGTTCTTTGTACATCCTTCTATTATTTATCAAAATACCATTGGTTGTTTACACCTCTCTCTTTGAAGGACCATGTGTCTTTACTTTATTTATTCATTTTTAAGACAAGGTCTCACTCTGTTGCCCAGGCTGAAGTGCAGTAGTGCAATCACGGCTCACTGCAGCCTCAAACTCCTGTGCTTAAGCAGTCCTTCCACCTTAGCTTCGTGAGTAACTGGGACTACAGGTGTGTGGCATCACGCCCAGCTAATTTTTTTATTTTCTGTAGAGATGGTGGTCTCACTATGCTGCCAAGGCTGGTCCCAAATTCTGAGACTCAAGGGATCTTTCCACCTTGGCCTCCCAAAGTGCTGGGATTATATGCATGAACCACCATGCCTGGCCAGAACCATGTGTGTTAATAATTTTTTTTTAATGTCTAGCACCCTCCCTCTAAAATGATTGCCAAGTGAATTAAAGGGGAAGAAAAAGAACTGTTTGATTACATGTTCTATGAAAGCATAGTAATCACTGATTTACAAGGTCAAGATGTGAGTTTTTTCCTCACTCTTTTTATAATTCCTCAATGACAGGTATTCCCTCGTACCACTCAGTGAGAAATGTTATTTTGATTTGAGCAATATAAAAGAGATCCTTGTGGTGAAGGAACTGTCCTGTATCTTGACTCAGGTGGTAGATACACAAACCTATACATGTGATGGAATTACATAGGAGTAAATGTATATACACATGAGTATGAGTATAGGTAAACTAGGTAAGTCTGAATATCTAGATAAGATCTATGGGTTGTGTCAATGCCAATATCCTGGTTGATATTTAATTGTGGTTTTGCACAGGTAACTTTTGCGAGATGGGGAAAACTAGATAAAGGGAATGTGGAAATTCTTTATATTATTTCTTACAATTGCTTGTGAATCTACAATTATCTCAAAATGAAGCCTTTAAAATAAAAGGACAATTTCTTTACTTACAAGAGGTTTCATAATGCCTTGGGATTGTGAGACAATTGACCTGAAGGGTGATTAATCCATGACACTGTTAACCCTTCAAAATCTCTTTTGGATATACAACTTAAAAGATTTCCCGAAACCCAAAGTGACACAGAGAAAAAGATATGATAAAATGGCCCTTGGCTGAAATTTGCCTTGGAGCTACTTTCTGCTTTCTCTCCTCTAATATTTGCAGTGGTGTTGTCGCATACCATGAGGAAAGTCGGATAGCAGGACCTTCAAACATATTTCTGCATTCATTTTTTATAAGGCTATAGAGATATTACTGAAGTTTCCCTTTGTCTGTCAATGAATAAGAAATATGTTTCCAAATCAGATGCTAAAATTCCAGGAGAATGTTTGATTCATGGTGGTATTGGTTCACTTCTCTGTATAGTAATAATAATATAATAGTAATAGTACTAATAGTTGTTGTTTGTGTGGTTAATGTTGTGACTGCACTAGGGGCTTTCCACAGTCCAGAACCTGGTCAAAACATTTGCTATTCAAATAAACTATTTTCCTGTGAATTGTCTTCATTACCATGGAAACGCTATTGCAGCCCCTCTGAATTGGGAATGGCTGGCATAGGAGCAGCCCTGGGAGGGTAAGGTCAGGACCACGCAGATGTGACTGCTGCTCTGCTTGCCCCGCAGTGATAAGGGCACGGCTGTGGGAAACCAGAGCATCTGCTGTGAGTCACCAAGTGCAAACAGGATGATAACAGAGTTAGGCTCGGAAAAAAACATCCCTTCTGAGACACAGAAGGCAGCACACCACAGAACACTGGCTCCTTTCTACAGAAAAAGGAAACCAAGCAATGGTCCTTCAGCAAGGTTGGCCTGTGCTTATGTGTCTGCTTCCTTCTGTCGGGTCTAGTGGGTCCCTATCAAAGCAGAAGTCCTTTCCTCTGAATTTGAGCTGACTTGAAGATAGGCTGGATGCCACTTACAGCATCTGCAGAGACTCCAGAAAGAGACTCCCTTCCTTTCCCTATAGCACTCCATATATGGCTAAGGCATCCAGCCTTAAGGGATTGTGGTTCAGATCAGATGCTGGGTTTCCTGGAATGGACACTGGCCATCGTTACTCATGAATCAAGCCTTCCTCTCTTAAGTGTGCTGGTCTTTTCTATATATAGATTGTTTAACTGGGGCTACGTTTATCCCCTAGGGAAGAAGAGTTGCATATAGAGCAGTAAGGATTTTTCCTGAATTGACCCCTAACTTATTAAGCTTTGGAACAATCTATTTTTCATGGCTTAAATTTATAAAATTTATACATACATACATACATATAGACACACGTGTGTGTGTATATATATAATACATATATCCATATATTTTAATACTACTTTTTCCTTCCCTACTACATTCCTAACATTTTTCTCCTCTTTTCAATTTAATTCAATGACATATCCCACTGGCTTCTCTTTATCTCCTTTCTTCTGTATCATTCACATTTGTTCACCCTCTGGCTTATGTATTACTACATTCAAATTTCTTACTAACAGATTGTAAAATACTTTCAGTCACATTTGCTTGCATACCTTCACTCTCACGCAACTTCTCTTTCACACACACACACACAATCACACATACACACTCACACGTACTCTCCAGATCCCAGTCTGCTCTTGGTTCCTTGGGCTGGCCTTGACAGTCTCCAGCTAGTGTAGCCACTGAGTCTTTGCTACCAATAGCCAAAGGTGTAAAACAAAAGTGGGCTGGGGCCAGATGGAACTAGACAGTCGTGGAGCGAGTTGGCAGAACACCAAGGGGAAAGATGGTTCTAAAACCTCTTCAGCTGGGGTTGAGAAGTGCTGGGGCAGCAGGAGAGAGTGGGAAAGCCTGACCTGGCAATCAGAACACGGAAAGCCACAGTCAAGGTGTGGGTGGGTGGGTGGTGGATGGCAGGGATGCACAGAGGTATTGGAGTTGAAAAGAAGCTGAAGTAAGAAAAGTTAGAAATGATCATGAATTGATTACTTATTACCAGTTAGGCACTGGGCTCTACATTTTCAGATATTTATTGTTTACTTTTTACTGCAAACATCTGAAGGAGATGATCATTATTCTGCAGATGAGGTTCAAAGAGATAATATTTAACCAGCTCTGTATAGAGAAAGTAGAGGATTTGGGTGCTCTCCTGCTTGGAGCAGTGGTTTGAATATATTTGTTTTCATTTAGGATACTCTTGCTCTCATTCACATATTACGGGCTGGCGATGGTGAGAAACGGGAAGCGCTGTGTGTTGGCATTGGGAGATGGTATTTAGCTTCAGGAGCAGCTGCCCAGGCCTCTGAAGAACAGACACTGGAAACCAGAGGCACAGCAAATACCCCTACTTCTTAAGCAAGGATGGCTCATTTTTGCCCTGCCTTTCGCATACATACTTCCCAAAGGCCAAAGCACTGCTTTAAAAAACAAATAAATGAAAACAAAAGACTTTGAGACAAGGTTTTATTCCATGCTTAGTCCTGACTTCTAGAGGTTGCCATGACCCCACGGTTGGAATTGGGACGTGCGGAATGGCACTGAGACGGTAATATGAAGGAAAGGGTGGGTTAATGTCTATATTCCTGTGGTAAAGAAGATACAAACACTGCATTGAAGCTATCATTAGCAAAACTCCAACTCAATCAGTAGAAACTTACATTTGCCCATATGATGTCAAGTAATTGACTCAAATTGTTATACACTTATTCTATGACACCATTAACCACTTAAACAATGAAAACCATTGTTCTTGTATCAAAAATAACTCTGCAGACTGGGTGTGGTGGCCCATGCCTGTAATCCCAGCTCTTTGGGAGGCTGAGATTGGAAAAGGACCCAAGCCCAGGAGTTCAAGACCAACCTGGGCGACAAAGCAAGACCCTCATCTCAACAAATAAAAAGTTAGCTGGCATGATGGCATGTACCTGTGTCCTAACTACTTGGGAAGCTGAGGCAGGAGAATTGCTGGAACCCAGGAATTCAAGGATGCAGTGAGCTATGATGGTACCACTGCACTCCAGCTTGGGCAAAACAGTGAGATCTTGTCTCTAAACAAACAAGCAGATGAAATCTCCATGATGAAGAAGTGATATGGTTTTGATCTGTGTTCCCACCCAAATCTCATGGAATTGTAATTCTCAGCACTGAAGCTGGGACCTGGTGGGAGGTGACTGAATCATGGGGAAGATTTCTCGTGGCTTAACACTAGCCCCCTTGGTACTGTTGTGGTGATAGTGAGTTCTCCCCTTCCTTCCTCCTGCTCTACCAGCCATGTAAGATGTATCTACTCCCCCTTCACTTTCCACCATGATTATAAGTTTCCTGAGGCCTCCCCAGAAGCAGAAGCTACTATACTTCCTGTACAGCCTGTGGAATTGTGAGCCAGTTAGATCTCTTTTTATTATAAGTTACCCAGCTTCAGGTATTTCTTTATAGTAGTGCGAGAATGGACTTTGAACTGGATGCAGCAGCTGGATAGAGCTTTGTGCTGTCTCCCTTGAGGCAAGAATGAGTGTGTTTTATGTATAGGAAGAGTTGGCGTTTGGTGAATGAGAAGAACTGACTGTGTAAGAGACTGCTTTGTGTCTGCCAAAATGGTCCTTTTCTTTGAGGGCCCACAGGTAGGCTACAACTGAATTCTAATTAATGGAATTGTGACCATCAAGCACTTTCCCTTCCAGCATGACAAAGATGAACACTGTGACCTTGGAGGTCATGTATCAAAGTGGGGCAGGTCACAAGATGGAAAGAGCCAAGGTCTCAAGTCACTATCTGAAAAAGAGCCTTCCATCAATTGAAAACTCTTATTTTTTATTTCATTTGAGTGAAATATTAACTTCTATCATATTTGAGCCATTTTTTATAGTGGCTACATCTGTATGTTTTATGTCAGACAGATAAATATAGAAACTAGGCTCTCAAGTATCATATGAGTACTGGAAATTAGAAGTGTACAGAAGGCAGACTATCAATGACATATCTAACTAGTTTTATGGATTTCTATTCTCATCCAGATGAGTGATCCTACCTTATCTGGGATCCAGCTCAGGAGATTGTTACTTAAGGCTTTGGAGCATTCATTGCTGCTTTCTATATTCTTGTGCTTATGGATATTGGCCTGCTTTGAACACACAGAAATAGAAAAATGTGATCAAAACTCCTCTAGGATGCACAGCTTGCCCCCCTTAGGAAATCACAGCTCTTGGAGGCCATAGCCAGTTCAGCAGCTGTGATCTGCTGTGTTCCTGGGCCACATATGTTGAAGAGATGCTGTCCCCAGTAGGCCTCAGACTGAAAAACAAATGCAAATTTGTTCTGCATTTTTATAAAATGCTCCTCTCTTCCACATTTTTTTTTTCAAGTTGAGGCCTCCTGGGAAGGAAATGGGCAAAGGACCCACTTCTGCCTAGACTAGACTAGAGCTGTCCAGAACAAATGCAAAGTAAGCCACGCATGCAGTCTTAAATTTCATAGTAACATTTAAAAAGTGAATAGGTGAAATTAATTTTAATAACATATATTTAACCCAGTGCATTCAAAATATTATCATTCCTACATGTAATCAATATATTACGAATGAGAAATTTTTACCTTTCATACTAAGCCTTTGAAATCCAAAGTGTCTTTTACCCTAAAGTGCATCTCAGTTCAAAACAACCACATTTCTAGTGCTCAACAGATGCATGTGTTATGTGGCTGCTGTATTGGATGGCACAGGCCTAGATGTCTGCTCTTTTCTGGGGTCAGTAGCACATTCCTCTAGATTATTGCTGCCCAGAGTTTGTGAATTTTTTTTTTAATGGCATCTGCTGCTCTAAGAGGAATGATCGTTAATCACAGCACATGTTGTGAGCTAAAAAGAAAGAAAATTTCCTCTAGGGATTTACATTTTTCTCTAGAGATTCTCACGCTCTCGGGCATCATCGGAATGAAACAACCAAAATCCATGAGTTAGCCCATCTTCACTATCTTCACCATATTCTCAAGCTATTTCTTCCTTCAGATTTCCATTTGAATTGGAAAATAACTCTCTCTCCATGTCGCTCTCCTTCTGAGGATGTGTGTAGTGTGTGTGTGTGTGTGTGTGTGCATGCGTGTGTGCATGTGGGTGGGTGTGTGACTTTTCTGGACATTTTTAATGCAATTTCTGCAAGGAAGTTGGGAGGCTAGCACAGCATGGTTAGACAATATTTGGTATCAAATATTCTAGCTATGCCCACCTAACTGCTATGTGACTTCAGGCAACTTTTCTGAGTATCTGTTTTTTCAGCTCTAAACTGGGGAAACTGACATCATTTTGCAAGAATTTAGTGAGGAATGACATGTGACGTATCCATGATGGGCCTGGTAAAATGCATGTCACAGATCATAAAGGATCTTATGTGATATACAAAGGAGTTTCAATTTTATCTTGCAGGCAATAGGAAGCCAGTGAAGACTACGAATGAAAGATGATTTGATCATATTTTCCATTTATAAGGTATTTCTTGCTGGGAAGAAAACTGAATATTTTTTTTTTCTTATAGTCAAGCTTTGTCCCAGAAAAAAAGTGTTTGCTTCCAAATCTTTCAAATCTTTTCTTTGCATAGAAAAGGAAGGAATCTTGGCTAAGCTTTAAACTGGATTTTTCTGTATACCCAGAGGTATCTTTGAATAAATAGATTTAACATCCCATTAGACACTTCTGCCTCTTGCATTTAGTAATTTGAACTTTCCTTAGGAAGATACACACAATAATATTACAGGCAAGATGTAGAAAATAATTTATTACTACCTCACTGGGTTTTGATATATCATCCTGGGCCTCTTTAATGATACACATTATGACCCTCAGACCAGATAGTTCTAGACTAGATGATTCTAATTCCCTTGTCATCCTAGTCTCTCTAGGAATCAGTGGAGATTAAATTGAAAGATAATTGAAAAAAATCAAAATTGATAACTGAAAGACAACAATCGAATGGATTCATTTTCAGAACGACTGTGTAAGGACAGTGCCAGCTGAAATGTTCACTTGTATTTCAGCAAAAATCACAATAATTGAGCATGTTTCCTCATTTGGGGGAGCTTTTTCTTTTTAACATCTTAACCTTAGAGAAATTACCATCTTCAATGGCAAACATCATAAAGCACTGGGGGAATCTGACTCTGGATCTACTCTACACTACTTTTCCCATGCCTAAAACTGAGAATATAAAAATTCTACTCTATTTATTGACCTTTATAGGTACAGAGTGTATGTGAATCTAGGGGAGAACATAAAATATAATAATGTCACTCAATTTGACTATAGCTGGTGAGACAGCCCTCATTCAGCAAACTTTTATAGACTAATGAAGAACCTGGTGCATAATGATGAATATGAGTATACAAGGTATAGCATTTATACCTTGTGTGCTTAAACCAACTCGGTAAATGTAATTGAATCTTAGAAAACATTATTCAAATCTGAAGTGTCTGTCCATAGAAAACAATGAACCCCAGCCAAGATGGATGAGGGCCAAGATGGCAACAGTAATTTTAACCGTACAAACTGAGATTAAGTATGCAAAAGAAATTTGAAAGTATAAAGTATTATTTCAATTTGAGGAGTGATTATTAAATAACTCCTTTAATGACAGTACCTTGCAATGAATGCTTCCTTTTGGGAGAAGATATGAATCATCTGACCTTTCACATAGTAAACTTTAGCAGAATCTCAGAGTTGGCCAGATCTGAGAAGCCACAGCCCATCATAAAATTCTATCATTTGTCTTATAACAATAAAGACTCTTCCTCTATTCTTTTTAGTCAATCAGATATATATATATACACACATATATATACTTTATATATATATATATACTTAACGCCTCAGAACTCGAACTCTTTAAGAAACTGAGATAACTCATTCTACTGTAGTTTATCCTTAAAAAATAACTTGATATTGTTCCAAGAACAGAAGTTTTTTTGTACTAAAAGAGATAGTTTACAGAAAACAATGATTTTGCTTGCCAACATTGTGCGCAAGGAATTTGTTGTTTATGACCAGTAAAGGCTTATGAAATGTCTAAACGTACTTTCTGAAAATAGGATTTCTGGTGGAGTCATCATGCTGTCTTGACTCCCAAAACTTCTTCCCAATGTGTATATAATTCATATTCATGCAAACCAATCCCAGGCCTCTTCGCCTAGAGCCTAAAAGAAATTATTCTGGATCTAAAATAATTTGGGTTTATTCAAAATGGAAATTACTAAAAACATCTTTGCATAATGATGCCTATTGCCAATAATTAATTCATTAAAACTCTAAATTTCTATGTACAAGATGCTATCCTTGACACCAAAAATTCACACCACACACATATGTAACATATTAGATGAATAAGATATTAATCATATATTTAATTATATAATATATAACTACACACACACACACACACACATATGTCTTCCAAGCCATTTCATCCTAGCTAAGGGATAAAAACAGAGAAACAATAGTTATACACTAGTATTCCCATGGTGCTGACCCCTAACAGTTTTGTAGGAGCTCCAAACCCCTCTCAAACTCCTCCCAGACTATTCTAGGAGTCCTAAAGAATGCCTCGCATGTGCTTTGTGCACTGAGCGTCTGGGCTGCCATGCAATGTCTCTTCTCCTTCTCTCCAGATCCAAGCCACAGAGCTAGAGCTCTCTATCTCCATCTGTGCCTAAGACCTCGACAGAGGCTGCCAGTGCTCAGTGTTGGGGAAGGCACCTGCAGATTCTCGCACTCATGTTACCAAAACCTGGAACTCTCAATATCCTTAAGAGATTTCAGAAAAACAACCTTTTTGGTTTTAGAGTGCTCTTGTTTTTTAAGCCAGATTTATTCTAAGCAAAAGCCTAGAGGGGCTGAAAGTCTGGTAGTTCATTACAGTGTTCAGGATTATCCACAGCTCTTGTCATTGAAATTGGTGTATCTTAGTTTCCTCTTCTCATAGAGCAAGTTCTGTCCTGAGGGAATTCTTGGTCACTGAAGCACAGACAGCTGAAGAGCTTATGCCATTAGTCTCCAGGGAGGCCTGATTTCTAAGGAAAGCACAGCTCAGGCTCAAGTTTGGGCCTCATTAACAGTACAACTCTACCTGCCTTCAAAGGTCATACGTTCTAGGTGTGATAGACACACAGGCTGACCATTTATTCCAATGTACTGTACTGAGAGATATAGTGGAAGAATATTTTAAGAGATATTTAGCCAAATTTGAAAATTCTCAATGGACCTTCTGAGAGATATGATGCCCAATTTAAGGCTTGAACATGAACACAGTATATGTTTTTTCTATTTTCTGTGGTGCCAAATTCTCCCCTCCCAATCAAGATAAATTAGAGAAATGTGAGAAATTAAAATAGAGCCCCAGAGTCACTGGGCTCCAGTTTTTGGAAATGGGAGGCATAGAATGGCCTGAGAAAGGCTTACTTTAGAACAAACTTCTAGTTTCTGCTGTGGAGACAATGACCTTAACCCTTTAGCTGAACAGTCCAGACTTCTGTTGAAATACAGGGACCTCGCTGGGTCCCCAGAACACTGTGTTGAGACGGATGCTCACACAATGTGTGGGGCTTGGTTAGCAGGGCCTCTGTGGGTGAAGAGCAAGAAGAAGCAACAGGAATGCCATGTAGTTTCTCACCCTACCTAATTTCTGCATAAACCTCAAGCCACATATTTTCTGTAAGATATATTAGCCAAGTTTGTCTCTACTCATACTATTTCCCCAAGAATCAACTCAAGCGTTGACTCTACAGTTAGCAATGAATTCGCAGCCCAAGTGGTTTTATTTTTGAAATGTGAGAATCCTTTATAGTTTTCTAAACTATAAAAGAAATATATGGCCTGAATGAGATAATTACTTATATTTTTCTTGAGCTGATACTTATTTTGGAGTTTAGCTAATTAAAAATATAATATGACCCATTGAAATGTAGCTAAATTTTTAATCATAAAACCATTGACTACTTTCATATTTTCCCATAGGCAATTCTAAAGTGAGTCTTCTCAAACATTTTGCCTGCCAGGAGCGTTAGACTGAGTGTCAGTTCCAACCAAACAGGGTTGAGGAGAAGTGCTTTACTGAGGTGTGGAACACAGCCTCAGGATAGGCATTAAGACATGGCACTATCTCCAAAACTCCATATGAAACGCTTTGTGGAGCAGACTCTTCAGAGGCAAAATTATGAAGCCTCGAAAGCAGAAAATGAGGCATCTCTCTTTAGACATCCCCAAACCAAGCTTTGCCCGGTGTCCATTAAGGTTCTGATTCTTGTTTTTTAACCCTTTTTCAATCACATGGACACAAACACATAGACGTGCACATTTACACTCAAAAAGAACCTGGCAGAGCAGTGAGCAGTGTCTGGTCTCTGCTTTTCTGTTAGAAAAAGCCTTATACACATGAAAACAGTATGAAGCTTCCTCAAAAAATTAAAAACAGAACTACGATTTGATCTAGAAACCCCACTTCTGGATAGATATCCAAAAGAATTAAAATCAAGATCTGAAAGAGATGTTAGCACTGCCATGTTTACTGCCACATTATTTGCAATAGCCAAGATATGGAAACAAACTAAGTGTCCTTTGATCAGTGAATAAAGAAAAATGTGGTATATACAGTAGAATTCTCTCCAGCCTTGAAAAGAAAGAAATCCTGCTATTTGTGACAACATGGATAAACCTTGAGGACATCAGGCTAAGCGAAATAAGCCATGCATAGAAAGACAAATACTGAATAATCCCATTGATAGGTAGAATCTAAAAAAGTTGAACCCAGGAGCGGAGAGTAGGACAGTGATTGCCAGGGGCTAGAGGTTGGGGGGAAAGCAGGAATGTCAGTCCAAAAGCACAAACTTTCAATTATAGGATGAATAAGGTCTGGGGATCTAATGTGCAGCATGGCGACTATAGTTAAGACTCTATTGCACACTTGAAATTTGCTAAGAGCAGACCTTATTTTTTTCTCACCACAAAAAACCTAGTTATATGAGGTGATGAATGTGTTAATTATGTGGTCATCGTTTTACAAGGTATACATATACCAAATAATCACATCGTACTCCCTAAACATACGGAATTTTTGTCAATTATACATCAGTAAAGCTGGGGTGGGGTTGGGGAAGAAAAGAAGCAGGCAGAGAAAACTCAGCTTAGGAAACAGCATATAGAGAAGTCACTGTGTCAACTGCCTCGGCCTCCTGGAAGTATTTTCATTGCCCAGAAGAAGGTCCAAGGAAATACGAAATAAGAAAGACCCCACAAATGCTCTCTTTCTTTTCTTCTTCTTTTGCAAGATCATCACTCTCAATGTTGTAAACCAAAGTATGATTTGAGGTGAACTGCCCATCTGTCATTCACCTCCTGTCAGCTGTCACCCAGCTCACTGATTGGAAAGAACACTAGGGCACTGGGTCTAAATTGGCCAAGGGGTAGGAAACATAGAGCAGTCATAAATGGAAAGTGTTCAGGCT